TAAAGACTGCGCCGTTTCCACGGCGACGCGTCATCACTTTCATCATTTTTCATTTAAAACTGAAAAAAGTGAATTTTAAAAACTGTAAGGCACTTTAATATTTATACAAAACAGTTAATTAGTGTTTAATGTCTCTACATCTGCTCGCTCCTAAAAACAGGGTTCTTCAGGGGTTCTATAACACAGGGAGTGGTTCTTTAGAACCATCTGCATGCTTAAATGGGTCTCTGTATGGTGAAATGGTTCTTCAGACTGAAGGAGAATGTGTTCTATATAGCACCAAATTGGGTTCTGCTGTTGTTTACAATGCCAAGCTTTTAACAATAGAAGAACCTTTTTTTTGTAGATTGTTCTATATAGAACCTTTTACAACACATTCTCCTTCAATCACCATGAAAAGAACCACTTTCTTTAGCAGGTTCTGTTGTAGATGGTTCTACATAGAATCTTTACAAATAGGGTTCTATATAGCACTAAAAAGGGGTCTGCTATTGTTACAAGCTTGACGTCATAACAACAGCAGAACCTTTTTTGATGCTACATAGAACCATATACAACACATTCTCCTTCAATCACCATGCAAAGAACCACTTTCTTTAGCAGGTTCTGTTGTAGATGGTTCCATATAGAACCTTTCTGAATATGGTTCTAAATAGCACCAGAAAGGGTTCTTCTATTGTTACAAGCTTGATGTTATAACACTAGAACCATATACAACACATTCTCCATCAATCTGAAGAACCACTTCACCATGCACAGAACCATTTAAGTGCGTGAAAACAAGCAGAACGTATCCCTTTACTAAAGAACCCTTGAAGAACCCTTTTTAAGAGTGTACAGAACGTCCTCGTTCAGTCGGAGGGTTGTTCTGTGTAGTGTTTCTGATCTGAACAGAACGTCAGAGAGAATCTAGCACCGAGTCCCGACTCTACACTCAACACTGTGAACTGACCTCAGATCATAGAGAACACAGTGCAGAGCCGATCTGTTAATTCGGTTTCATGGGGATTAAATGTAAACAGGGATTAAATCTGCGATTAAAGCCTTGACCTGCTGTTAATGCTGAGTGTCCACTCTGGCGGACTGGGCAGTGAATAAACAGCAGAGACGTTTCTCTCCACACTAATCAGAGTCTAAACTCATTAGTCTAAATAGCTCAGCGCAACAATGACAACAGGGAGCTTTTCTCATTCAACACCATTAAAATGATTCAGAAAGTCTTAGATTTTCACTCTTCTAGGCCTTTTTAATCTAAAATTCTGGATGTTTTTCTCTTTGTGCTGCTTCTGATCATTTTTGGTGGTCAGAATTTCAGTGCAGCCCGGGTAATTAGTGTTTATGGGGCCTTACAGGCCTTCAGAGACGACCTAATGAAGTGTTTACTTCATCTATAGTTTAACCCTCTGGGGTCCACAAACTCACCCACGCTGTTTCTATGGTGGTGTAGTGTAGCGGGTAACACCTCTGCCCTGCCCCTCTGTATGGACCCTACACTACACCAATAAGAGTCCTTGGGCAAGACTCCTAACACTACCTTCACCTACCTGTGTAAAAAAAAGATGATCAAACTGTAAGTCGCTCTGGATAAGAGCGTCCGCTAAATGCTGTAAATGTAATCTGTATCTGTTTGTGTATCTTTGTGATGATCCAGCTCAGAAATCCAGTTCACTTCCTGAATCTGTAGAGTCGCCCTTTCCATTCCATTTTATCTCGAGATCATACGAGACTCACATCCGGAGTTATGAGCCTATGAAGAGGGGCTGAGATACACGTCATCTGCCTCTCACCGTGTGGAACTGGTGGATTCGTGTGTCTGTCTACATTCTGTCTGAAACTGACCAATGGACACTCAGGAAATCACTAAGGACTGACCATCACGCCGGAAACCCTTCATTCTTCATTCAGTCCACATCGGAGACTCATGTGAAACGGCCTGCAGAGAGTTTACAGCTGCTGAAGCTGCTGCAGCGGTTTTGGAAAGTAGTGATGAAGATAACGGAGCATTTAGATATGAAACATATGAGGATCATGATATATGAAGAGCCTTTAGAGGAGAGATTAAGAAGATGTGAGCACATCGAGAGAGAATGACCTCAGAGCTCAGAGGGGTAATAGAGTCATCCTCATATTTCAACTCTGTACTGCAGGAACACTTTATTCCACTGTTAAGTTTTGGATGTAAACAAAAGGGTTAAAATTGTCAAACACCTATGCTGTCCAATCAGGACTGTTCTCTCTGTGGTATCTAGGTAGATACAGCCAAGCTGCTCTCCCATTGGTCAGGACTTCAGGAGCTGGACCGAAGGCCTCACATGTTAGATTAACTACCAACATAATTAGGAAGTGACAGAGGAATCAATCAAGCGTGCTTTGATTCACATCACGGTGGTGAGAAAAAACAGCACTCTGGAGGTTCTAGATTCGTCACTGACCGTGAAAGAGCCGAGGTCTAAGCAGTGTTCCGGGTAGTTGTTAGGAATGGAAAACAGCGGCGGCGGCTCTACGCTGGACTTTTTACTGAGTCACTGTAAATATTTTTTAACTTTAAATCACTGCATTTAATCTAAAATCAGCAAAACACTGTTAATACAAATCGCCATTAGCTTAGCGCTAACATACTACTAGAATCCCATAAGGGCGCTAGCATAAGTTAGCATAATGGTAGACGTGGGTTCTTCCTCATGTTTTGGCCGAGTTTAAAGGCCTCGCTCTGGCGGTCAGGGTTCACCGCTGAGTGTTCAGTGCACAGCGGGGACTCAGCATTAAGGTTCAGTGAGCTCAGTGTTCGGCCTCTAACACTCGGCCTTCTGGCCTGCGGTCTCCACGACCTCTGACCTCCTGTTTCTCTCTAAAGTGCTGCTTGATTCAGGAAGGTTTCTATCTGCACCCACTTCAGCACTCATCCTCCCTCCCTCGCTCTCTCTCTCTCTCCCTGTCTCTGCTTTATATCACCCCTACTTACAGTCTTCATTAGTCTAATCTCTCTCTCCACTGTTCTACTGCATCTCTCTCTCTCTTATTGCACAGAGGAGGTAGTGTTCATCAACTCATACATACAGAGCCCTTTACTGTCAGTAACCATACTCAGCCAGCAGGAGGCGCTGTGTCTCCTATAAACACACACACAGTCTTTGGGATCGGCTCTCACCCACACACACACACACAGACACCCACACACACACACACACAGACACCCACACATACACACCCGCACACACACACCCACACACACACACACACACACCCACACACACACACACACAGACACCCACACCCACACACACAGACACACCCACACACACACACAGATAAAGGCACTATGACATCAGATTATCTGGATCTCTAAGTCTGCGGGTCAGACTGAAGCAGGGCGCTCTGCGGTTATGAGGTATGTTTGGGTGGAGTTAAAGGGCCCATACCCTACATTTCTACTGTACACAACACTTTTTTTTCTTTATGGACCAAAACAGTCATAAAGCTCTGCTGATCGTTCAACACAGTTTAACAATAAATGATCTTAAACTCTGGAGTTAATGTAGAACTGCTGATTCACCCTTTAACCCTGAAGATCAGCGCAGACTGCTGGTCACCATAGCAACACAGACAACAGTCTCGTCTAGCTAGTAGCTAACGACACGGCAAAGAGAGAGATTTAAGATGAACATCAATAATTTGGAGACGAATGGACTGATTTGTGTTTATAATCACTCCAGCTGGTTTCCTGATACGTTTAATCTGCAACAAGAAACTGACAAACACTGAAAAGTCACAAGGCCGAAGTCAGTTTCTCATTCGAATTGTCCCGTTCCACCTTAAATGGTGCAGCAGTTACATTCTGGCGCCTCAGATGCCATTTAAGGTGGAACGGGAACATTCAAACAAGAAGCTGGCGAACGAGAAACTGACTTCAGCCTCGTAAAAAGTCAAACATTGAGAGACATTTTATAAGAAACCGTTCTACTTTTGAGGAAAGTTTCCTGCTGGAGATGCGAGAAAAGCAGCTATAGCTGAGCTGAAGCTTAAAGCAGAGCAAAGTCAGTCTGTGTTTTCATTTATATTATATTTTTATTCTATACTAGAACATCAGCACATACTGAGACATGTTTACAGCCAAGATGGTAAAACGTTACTTCAGTAAATTGATATTAAGTGTTGTGGCTCCCAAGGTGGTTTGATTTTTGTTGAAAGGTCAAAACGGCTCTTCTCAATATTTGGGTTGTGACTCCTGTATTAGGAGGTTTTTTAAATCTGGCACATCTAGCACTTGTTGGTCTGAATATCGTGATGCATATCGTGTATCATGAAACTGCTCTGAAGTATGCGTGTGTATGTGATACGATATTTGTGCCGTAACGTCCAGCCCAGGTTACAGAACGACAAACTGAAAACAGGCTGTTTTTGCAGCTTAAGTTTGAAAATATGGACTGTAGAGACTGAAGAGTGAACTGATATACACTGAATCAGACGTTTTAAAGACAGTTTGTACATGATATGGGCCCTTTAACACACACACACACACACACACACACACACTCATACACACACACACACACACACACACACACACACACACACACTCACTCATACACACACACACACACACACACACACACTCACTTATACACACACACACACACACACACACACACACACTCACTCATACACACACACACACACACACACACACTCATACACACACACACACACTCACTCATACACACACACACACACACTCACTCACACTCATACACACACACACACACACACACACACACACACTCACACACACACACTTACTCATACACACACACACACACACACTCATACACACACACACACACACACACACACACACTCACACACACACACTTACTCATACACACACACACACACTCACTCATACACACACACACACTCACTCATACACACACACACACACACACACACACACATACACACACACACACACTCACTCATACACACACACACACACACTCACTCATACACACACACACACACACTCACTCATACACACACACACACTCATACACACACACACACACACACACACACTCACTCACACACACACAGGACAGAGTGTGTTTAGTTATTTGGTGTTGTGAGTGTGCTGTCTCAGTGCTGTGTGCTAGCGTAGCTCAGGTCAGTGCGCTAATCAGCTAATGACATCACTGTGTTACATATGACATCACAATGACATCACAGCTGCAGCATCAAAGCAACAAAGGTCAGCAAAACATGCCGCACCCACTCACACTCACATTCACACACACACACACTCAGACGGGTGTTTCCTTGCTCTTCAGGTCGGGGGCGCTGTACTGACGCCTCATGCGGGGGGGCGTGGTGTACCCCTGGAATTTTGGGACCCCTCCCCAGGCGTGCATGTTGCGTGGTAGCGTGTGTGCGTGTGCGGGGGGCGGAGTCTGGTACATCTGAAAATGAGGGATAAACTGCTGCTGTTGCTGAGGGTGGTGGTGGGGGTGGTGATGCTGGTTGCCATAGTAACCGTCTCTAGGCTGGTGTCCCGCCTCTCCTCTCGTTCCGGGGCTCGGCGACTGCCGCCGATAGCGACCATGCCCCCCCGGCTGCTGATGCAGATGCTGCTGGTCATTGGGGTTGCCGTAGCGACCCTGCCTGTTGGAAGCTGTCGAACTGTCCAGAGAGTTCCGCCTGTAGCGCCACTGCTGCTGCTGGGGGAAGTGACCGCTGTTGCCATAGCTACCGCCATCATAGTTACGTGGTTGCCAGGTGCGATGTGGAGAAGGTGTACGCATGCGCTGGTTTCCCATGACGGCCGGCATCTGGAAGGGAGCAGGGAGGAACGGAGCCACTGCCTGGGCTGCAGTGGGTGGAGCCACAAGATTTGTGGGTGGAGACTGACTGTCATTCAGCTCCTCCCCTTCACTTCTCTCCTCCCCAGTGGGCAGGGCCTGCAGGGAGGCGGGGCTCCAGGACAGCCGGTGCTGTGGGTTGCTCTTAAAGGGAAACTTCAGCTTGCATTCCTGTGGAGGGATGAACCGGCCGGTTCCGGGCAGATGGACCACGCCTCCTTCTCCAGTCACGGCCCCAGCTCCGCCCCCACGTCGTAGCCGCTTGGTGATTTGCTGCTGCTGCAGGTTCTGGAGGCGAGTCTGCTCCTGTTTGAGCCAGCGGAGACGCCCCCGGCGGAAGGCGGGGTCTTCCTCCATCAGCCGCTTCACTCGGTCCTCATTGGACTGGACACCCATGGTGCCACACCCATCCTGATCAATGCACCGCCCCTCATCTGCCTCAGTGTCCTCGCAAACCTGGTCTTCTGATGAGCCGTCGTCCTGAAGGACAACAGGCGGAACATTAACGTGATTTCTGTTCGTTCATACTTTAATCTGTAATATATTTACACATATAAAGTAATATTATAAATGATCTGCTGATTATACAGAACTGAGCCACCCTTCACTTAATTTCCAGTCAAAACAGCCATTAAGTACAAGTTATTGATTTTTCAGCATCAGGAAAGAAAATAAAAAACATGTTTTTTCCACTCTTTTCTTTATTCCAGCTTCCATTATTTTCAGGAGACTCACTTTCAGTTCCTCAAAGAATCTGCAGACACACCTCCACAGTTCAGTCTTAGAAGCTGGTTTAACATTTTCTGAAGTAATCAAACACATTAGAGATGGAACGATCGATTGGTTACGTGTCGGTATTGGTCGTTTTTCGATTCAAATATGTGATCAGCCAATATTTCTGTAACTTATCCTGATCAGTGACAAATGAGCCTTATTTAGGGGTGCTGCAGCCCAGCGATGCCCCTCGGTCACAGGACCCTGCAGCTCCTCGTTTAAAAGCTTTTGACTACAGGACTAAAGGCCTCTTTACCCTGAGTCTGATTTTTTACAGAGGAAAAAACGAACGTCAAGTATTAACACATATTTTAACGCCGCCTTTCACACCGAGTCTGAAACTGACGGACTGTGTCGCTAAGTAAATTAGAATGGGAGCCTGCTCTGCTTTCTCTGCTGTACGGATGTGTTAAAATCAGACTCTGTCGTCATGGTTGCAGCCCAAACAAACATGCAACAGGATGGTGGCAGAACTCTTGTTTGCAGCAGTGCCCAAAAGCTTATATGACAGCACGCTGACCATAAAAACGCGAGGGTTAAAGACAATACCTGGTGGACGAGAGCTGAGAAGCTGTGAGTGATGGTGAGTTACAGCGACTGTATTTAACCACCTGTCATTCACTCCTTTCTAATGAGAGGAGCAACAAACAGAAGCAGAGCCTCGAATTCCCCACTGACAGACGGAATACCTGCAGAATCGCTCGTCATGCAGCGTTAGCTCCTGTAGGAGGCGCTGGAGCTCCCCGAGTTGTCACCTTTTTGTAAAATGAGATGTACCCAGTAGAGGCACTGTTTAGTTGCAGTGCCTGAAAGATTAAACGTTTCCAGAGTGTTTAGACAAAAACGGCGTGAAGGTCCCACTACGCTAAAATCGCATTCGTCTTCACATCCGAAAAAAGCTTACTTTGTGTCGCCCTCGATCGGTATCGGATATCGGCTAATCATGTTGAAAGGTGATCAGCGATCGGTATCGTCCCCATAAACACTGATTGGTCCATCTCTACTGAACACATTCAGTGGTGTTGAGGTCTGGACTCTGGGGTGGTCAGTCCATCGTTCAGCTTCTTTGTTTGATGTGTCCGTCTCCTTTTCTCAGTGAGGTTCTTCTTGATCAGCTACACATCCTTTCAGACCCACAGCGCTGAGTCGTCTTCTCACAGTGGAAGGATGGACAGAAACACCTGTGGATGTTTTCAGATCTGATCAGCTTGATTTTCTCCTCTCTCTCAGAGATGAAAGCTTTAAGTGCTGTTTATCTGATGGGGGCAGTTTTGGGGTCGATCGGGTCTTCCAGGTGGTTGTTAGGAGACTCATTGCTTCTGGAGCTTTTAACCTTTGACCTTCTCTTACATTATGCAAACAGATTATCTTACATCTAATATCCTCACGAATATCTGCTGAAGAATGAATGAGTTGTACCTGGTGGCGATTTTGACTGTAGATGAGTTAAATGAAGGGTGGTGTTCTTCACGGCGCTGTGTGTTTGTGTGTGTTACCTGCTGCACTGCTGGTATGACTCTCTCCATCTTCATCATTCTGTCTCTGAGCGCTCGGATCTCTTCATCCTTCAGGTTGTTTTGTTCCTTCACCTCCTGCAGGATGTCCGTCAGCTTCTCCAGGTGAGCCTTCAGGTCGTACACGCCTTTCTGCCTCGCCCCTCCCTCTGAGGCCACGCCCACATCCTGCCCACGCTCCTCGCCCACGCCCACTGTCTCCCACACGTCCTGGGCTACTTCCTTCCACAGCTCTCGGTCCTCTGGCTCCTTCTTACCGTACATCCTGAACAGCTCCTTCAGCTTCACGATGGCCAGAGCCTGGATCTCCCTCAGAGTATGTTTAAAATCCCCCAGCGCCACCTGCAGACAGGACCGGTAATTTACCTACTGCTGCAACAATTCACAAACTGGATAATAAGAATATTATGTTAGTTATAACAAAAATAAACTCAATAATCGTCTCTATAATGTTCATATGATCCACACAGTCACTCTGACAGACTGTAATACACTACAGGAAGTGTAGGGGGCGATATGGCTTCTACTGTTTCATTTAAACAGCTCTATAATGTTCATATGATCTATGAGGTCAGTACCTGGTAGCAGATCTCCTTGACGGCCTGCAGCTGCAGGTCACACACCGTCACACTCTCGGGGTCTTTACTGATACGTCGGCGTTGGGGGATCTGATACACGCGTTGGGGCTCACGCCGCTTACCACTGCTGGGTAATCCACAGCGCTTCACTATACACTGCACCTGCAGACAAACGGCACGAGTTACGGTGTGAGGTAATATATCTGACACTGATTCATACAGGTGGGTGACAAAGCAAAAACCTGAATAAACGAGCGCAGAAACATAACGAGTGATGCTTCCAGGCAGCTGTACTGCATGATACAATACGTTGTTTGCGGTCAAGTGATTCAGATGACCAAATCCTGATGGACAGCAGGACATGAAGAGCAGAATGGAGAGATGGCGGCGAGCCGCACTGCGCTAGTTTAGACGATATTACGAGAGAAAGGTATAAACAGAAAATCACAGCAGATGCTGGACGTGGTCCCTCTGTTATGAAGACGAGCGATTTTTCACCTGAACTGAAAGACTCGCCTGGTATCGAGGCAGCAGATATGAGCAGCCACCTCATCCTCCAGACGTCCTTCTACTCAAGATCACTAATGAAAGCACACAAAAGTGGGGAGGCACAATTTTACGAGGCTGAAGCTGGCTTCCGGTTCCAATTTTCCCGTTCCACCTTAAATGGGCAGCAGTTATTATTATATTGCCTGATGCCAGAGTGTAACTTTTAAGGTGGAACGGGAAAATCTGAACAAGAGGCTGGCCTGGCTAAGTTATTTACATTCTCCTGTCTTTTGTGCTGCTGCTTGTAGTTACTGTTTGAAATCTATCACCACATGAACTGACCAGAATACACACTCTGCTCCTCCCTCCAGCTGCCCATCCTGTGGGTCTGATGCTGTTGCTTTTAGAAGAACACTGTTCAATCCCTCCAGAACAGTTCCAGAGAGCTCGAGAGCCAGTTCTGGCAGCTCGTTGTGGTTATTTTGGCCTTTACTTTGTCACCCCGTATATATATACATGTATTTGGTACATGGTGCGGCTGTCTGGGTGTCTGTGTGTAGGTGTATGTAGTACCTTGTTAGCTGGTAGTTTCTCTCGGAGAGAAGAGATGAGTCTCCAGCTTTCCTCACAGGAGCGTTTATCAGAGTCATCACCGCTGTCTGAATCTGCGTACTGGACACACACACACACACACACACACACACACACAGACACACACACACACACACACACACACACACACACACACACACACACACACACACACACGTGTCTGACAGTGAAGAGAGAGGCTGCTAGCGCTGCTCTATGAAGGCTCCTCTGCACTGCCAGCTTTACAGTCGACGAGGGAGTCAGAGTGCTTGAACATTCAAACAGTCACGAACGTTTAAAAATCAAACAGTAAACTGGGATTTTTCAGTTTCAGATTTCGGCTGATTTCAGTTTTAATCAAGAATTTTCACTTTGGTATCTACGAGGTGAGGATCCTTCAGGGACATAACGGCCGAGACAGCCTGTCGCTTCGAGACAGAGCCTCTCTCTCTCTCTCTCTCTCTCTCTCTCTCTCTCAATTCAACTCAAAGTGCTTTACTGGGGAGACAAATAATGCTACAATTACACAGCCAAAGCAGCAGGTTACAGTTTGGGTACGTGAACCATCAGAACCCACTTCTGTCTACACAACATTTCTACCTGTCGCGCTGCCTCAGCAGAGCCGCCAAGATAGTCCCCCACCCACCCTGCCTATGGACCGCTCAGCCTTCTGCAGACCCCACCCACCCTGCCCATGGACTGCCCAGCCTTCTGCAGACCACACCCACCCTGCCCATGGATGGCTCAGCCTTCTGGAGACTCTAAACTATAAAATTATACACATAAATATTACAGAGACACATACAGGACAGTGTAAACCAATTATGTGTATGTCTCTCTCTCTCTCTCTCTCTCTCTCACCAGTCTGTGTTGCTCCAGTAGCAGATCAGCTTCTTCTTTCTCTCTGCGGTACTGAAGCTCCAAATCCTGCAGCCTGAAACACAAAATATACCAATTCACACTTTTTTTATTTCTGTAGTAATCTCTCTCTCTCTCTCTCTCTCTCTCTCTCTCTCTCTCTCTCTCTGTCTCTTTCTCTCTCTCTCTCTCTCTCTCTGTCTCTTTCTCTCTCTCTCTCTCTCTCTCTCTCTTGCTCTACCTCTTGTCCATCTCCAGTTTGATGTCTATGCCCTGGTTCTCCAGCAGTTCTCTCTGGGCATAGCTCCAGTCCACTGGCTCCCCCTGCTGCTCACAGTTGGCGGTGCGCTCTCTCTCCAGCCGAGCCTGCTCCGGGTGATTAAAGCGGAACACGTGGTTCTTCCCATCACGATACGGTACCTAGCACCACCACACACCACACACACACCACACACACACACACAATTACAGACCTCTGTAGAAAAGATCAGCAGCACTGTTAAAGAACCCACATCATATTTTATTGTGTCCATTTATATTTTTGGCGTGATTTTATAAACAATCATAATTGACTTTTACTTGACCATTTTCAATCTGCTGTAGGCTGAATGGGTGGAGCTAAACTGCTGTAGACTGAATGGGCGGAGCTAAACTGCTGTAGACTGTATGGGTGGAGCTAAACTGCTGTAGCTGAATGGTGGAGCTAAACTGCTGTAGCTGAATGGTGGAGCTAACTGCTGTAGACTGAATGGTGGGCTAAACTGCTGTAGACTGAATGGGTGGAGCTAACTGCTGTAGACTGAATGGGCGGAGCTAAACTGCTGTAACTGTATGGGTGGAGCTAAACTGCTGTAGCTGAATGGTGGAGCTAAACTGCTGTAGCTGAATGGTGGAGCTAAACTGCTGTAGACTGAATGGGTGGAGCTAAACTGCTGTAGACTGAATGGGCGGAGCTAAACTGCTGTAGACTGTATGGGTGGAGCTAAACTGCTGTAGCTGAATGGTGGAGCTAAACTGCTGTAGCTGAATGGTGGAGCTAAACTGCTGTAGCTGAATGGTGAAGCTAAACTGCTGTAGACTGAATGGTGGAGCTAAACTGCTGTAGCTGAATGGTGGAGCTAAACTGCTGTAGCTGAATGGTGGAGCTAAACTGCTGTAGACTGAATGGTGGGGCTAAACTGCTGTAGACTGAATGGTGGGGCTAAACTGCTGTAGACTGAATGGGTGGAGCTAAACTGCTGTAGACTGAATGGGCGGGGCTAAACTGCTGCTATGTAAGAGAATGTGATACCTTGTTTGAGCACCGTTGGTTCAGTAATCTGTTTCCCGTTGACGTAAGTCTCCGCCCCTTCTAACGGCTCCAGTGTGACGACCACTAAAGAGAGAGAGAGACAACTTATCAATTACACACACACACACACACACACACACACACACACACACCACACAGACAGACAGACAGACTTTGAATGATCTGATGTAATGAGATTCAGGCGTTACACTGATATATTTCTTCTACTACGGATTATTTACAGTCCGATAGAAACTGTATTCTGAATGGCCTCAATCGGACTAGACTGTTCCCACTGAGCTGGACGTGTTCTATTCAGGTTGAGCTATTAGTCGGATTATTAACGGATTATTAGGCTGCATGTAAACGTGGCTACTGACACAGAACTGGACTGAAGATTGGAGATTCTGCTGTAAGAGGAGAACTCGCAACATGCGTTGTAACCTGCATTAGGATCTGACTGCACATCAAACCTCTGATATCGATGAAAAAATCACAGACCAACTATAAAGTGATGGACGAGACCAGCTCACGTGAATTATGGCTTGTGCGTTCACACCAGCAGGTAAAAGGAGGCCAAATCTGATTTTCTCACCAAATACTAATTTGCTTTGTTGTCTGTTCAGATTGTCTTTTAAATGTGATCTGTATCATCAGTCTGAACAGATCAGCTCCTAAACTGACCCTCATGCTCTAAAGAACAGAGCGTCACGCTGCTTCACGCTCATCCAGAGGACAATCACGCTCCGCCAGCGAACGCCAGTCGCCTGCCAGCAGATCAGCTTCATCTTCACAGCATCACAGGAGCCTCATGAAGCTTCACTGACTGACAGCTGGCTCATCACCCAGATGTGTTGGAGCGTAAAAAAGGGCACGGTCACTCTTGGTTCGCGTCCTCGGATTCATTAAACTCTGCTTTCAGACTTTACATGTTCTCTGACGCTGCAGCCTCGTTCTCCTGCGGCCGCGTTCGGTTTTTGTGGGAATGGCATTTATTTCTTTCTGAATCTCTTCAAACACGGAGGAGTTTCTGATGAGTCCCTAATAATTTTATAACAGAAATGCTCAGCCTACAAAATGTTTCTGAGTGCTCAGCCTGTGTGAGATTCTGATGAAGGTCGAGTTGGATTAACATAAAGTTGCATGATTCCCATCTGGCTGTTCAGACTGCGAGTCACGCTTGCCACAGATCGCGATACGGATCGGATTTCAGTACCACATATGAAAACATCTCAAATCAGAATTGAAGATGTCAGATTCAGTGTGTTTATCTGTTCACAGACACACATCTGAGTCACATACGGACAAAAGAGATCAGATGGTGCACTTTTACCTGCTGAGTCTGTTAATAATGAGAACATTCTACAGAAGATCTGATGAGGACCGTTCAAACACAGTGGGACCAAATCTGATTAGGACCGATTCATACCTTTCAGCACAGATCGAGATGATCTCAGAGGTGGTTATTATTACCCCCCAGCAGATGGTGGGCGGTGAGTGTGGTGTGGGGGGTTCGTCATGTATGTGTGTATGTACAGAAGATTCAGAGGGATCAGATGGGTCTGATGCTGAAATGGATGATGAACAGACAAACAGACGACTGACAGACATGACACAGTGATACCTGTACAGAGTCCACGCAACTTTTCCAGAAGCAGAGAAACAGACAAGAAACAGGACCGGTGTGTTTATCACTGAACCACCACACCGTCAAAGACTCTGCTACTCTGTACTCACTTAGGCCGTTTACTGCCGACATGGCGACAGCCACTGCATACAGTTCAGTACAGTCCAGTGTTAATCAGTCACTGACAGCGTTTACAGACACTTAAACACTCTGGGGTCGTATCGCAAGAACCTATCTCAACTCTGACATCTGATCTGTTTAGTCTCCATGACTGAATTTAGTTCAGTATCTATTCCAGAATATCAGCTCCTAACTTCATGATCTTATCATGAACTCCAGATAAGAAAACAGCATCCACAAACAGCCTAACTAGACTAAACCTCCTAACTCCTGTCCTAACTTAGGATGAACCCAACAGGGTCCTCACTTCTGTTAGTGCCGTTTCTCATGGTTTTTAGGCCTAGCTGAGTCAGCAGCATACAGTTCGTTCACTACAGCATGCATAATGAGCTCCATTATTCCTACTGTAAACGCTGCATCACTGTGTGATGATTTTCTTTCTAACTCTGCGTTTTGAAAGATACTCAGACGCTGCAGACTCGATCTCCACCGCCCATCTGATCACCTTCGTGTGTTATGTTGATGAGGAAATATTCAGTATGTGGGTGATAATGGGAGACGGAGCGAACGTGGGAAGGAGGGTGTCTGTTTATTAGGAGGGAGTAACGTTAAGCGCGCTAGGCTAAAGCGTTTGGGAAAATGGAGACTGACACTGGAGAGTGCGACGCTCTGATAAACAGCAGGGGCGCTCTCACAGTAATTCACTTACTTACAGTTTAATCCACACATTAGCTGTGTTTGACCTTTTTACATCAGAAACAAGCCAAAAAAAAAAAAGCCTTAACTTCAATTTAACATTATTTTGATGATGTGTGTTTACGTTTCAGCTGTGTGTTTATGGTCAGTTGCTAGGAAACAGACATGACAGCTGATTGTCAACTTCAATCGAGTAGGTTAAGATCTCCTAACTGGAGATAAGATTCTGTAAGATTAGATAAGTTAAATTAAGATCAGATTTGATTTTGTAATATGAATCTGTGTAAAACCTGATCTTGAGCTGTCAGATCTGAACTCAGAAATGAAGAGAAGACGTTTCTGCAATGCAGCCCTGGTCATTATCAGAGTTCTCTCATTATCCAGTCGCGTAAACACTCTGATTTCATAGATCAGACTAAGATCTATAAATCCGATTAGTAAATCTGATAAAGAGGTTGATCTGAGTCAGTAATGGGGTTTTCAGTATAAACTCTCACTCTGATTTCTTTCGTGTCTCTCAGTCTGAGCATGTGTGAAGCAGAGCGTCGTCCCGGAAACAGCGAGCCAGCGTTTAACGTAGCGTTTAACGCAGGATTTAACGCAGGATTTAACGCAGGGTTTAACACAGCGTTTAACACAACGTTTAACACAGCCTTTAACACAGCCTTTAACACAGCGTTTAACACAGCGTTTAACACAACGTTTAACACAGCCTTTAACACAGCGTTAAAAAAAACACAGCCTTTAACACAGCGTTTAACAAAGCGTTAACGCAGCCTTTAACACAGCGTTTAACACAGCGTTTAACACAGCCTTTAACACAGCGTTTAACACAGCGTTTAACACAGCCTTTAACACAACGTTTAACACAGCCTTTAACACAGCGTTTAACACAGCCTTTAACACAGCATTTAACACAGCCTTTAACACAGCGTTTAACTCAGCGTTTAACACAGCCTTTAACACAGCGTTTAACACAGCCTTTAACCACAAACACAGGCGTGTACACATGCCTTTAACACATAGTAGCGTTTAACTCAGCGTTTAACACAGCTTTAACATCAGCGTTTAACACAGTCTTTAACCAGCGTTTACACAGCCTTTAACACAGCCTTTACACAACGCAGCGTTTACACATGCGTTTAACACAGCCTTTACACAGCACTCTAACATCAACTTTACACAGAGTTTTAAAACAGTGTTTTAACATCAGAGCACTAACACAACGTTTACACAGCATTAACAAAGCCTTTACACTGCGTTTACGTATCACGTTACCTCGCAGCTAACGCAGCACTGAACGCGGCGCTGAACGCAGCGTTTAACGCAGCGTTTAATGCAGCCTTTAACGCAGTGTTTAAGAGCGTTTAACATGACATTTAACACAGCCTTTAACACAATGTTTAACGCAGAGTTTAACACAGCCTTTAACACAATGTTTAACGCAGAGTTTAACACAGCCTTTAACACAGCCTTTAACACAATGTTTAACGCAGAGTTTAACACAGCCTTTAACACAGCCTTTAACACAATGTTTAACACAGAGTTTAACACAGCCTTTAACACAATGTTTAACACAGAGTTTAACACAGCCTTTAACACAGCCTTTAACACAGCCTTTAACACAATGTTTAACGCAGAGTTTAACACAGCCTTTAACACAGCCTTTAACACAGCCTTTAACGCAACGTTTAACACAGGTTTTAACACAACCTTTAAAACAGCCTTTAACACAGCTTTTAACACAGCGTTTAACATAATGTTTAACACAGAGTTTTACGCAGTGTTTAACACAGCATTTAACACAGCACTTAACACAGCACTTAACACAATGTTTAACACAGCGTTTAACACAGCGCTTAACACAGCGTTTAACACTGCATTTAACGTAGCGTTTAACACAGCGTTTAACACAGCGTTTAACACAGCGCTTAACACAGCGTTTAACACAGCGTTTAACACAGCGCTTAACACAGTGCTTAACACAGCGCTTAACACAATGTTTAACACAGCCTTTAACACAGCGTTTAACACTGCATTTAACGTAGCGTTTAACACAGCGTTTAACACAGCGTTTAACACAGCGTTTAACACAGCGCTTAACACAGTGCTTAACACAGCGCTTAACACAATGTTTAACACAGCCTTTAACACAGCGTTTAACACTGCGTTTAACGTAGCATTTAACGTAGCGTTTTACATAGAGTTTAACACAGCCTTTAACACTGCGTTTAACATAGCGTTTAACACAGCGTTTAACACAGCGTTTAACATAACATTTAACACAGCCTTTAACACTGCATTTAACGTAGCATTTAACGCAGCGTTTAACACAGCCTTTAACGCTGCATTTAACGCAGCGTTTAACGCAGTGTTTAATGCAGTGTTTAACACAGCGTTTATCGGCGTGTTTAACACAGAGTTTAACGCAGAGTTTAACACAGCGTTTAACACAGCGTTTAACACAGCGTTTAACGTAGCGTTTAACGTAGCGTTTAACGTAGCGTTTAACGCAGCGTTTAACACGTTTAACACAGCGTTTAACACACCGTTGAACACAGCGTTTAACGCAGCGTTTAACACAGTTTAACACAGAGTTTAACACAGAGTTTAACGTAGCCTTTAACGCAGCGTTTAACACAGCGTTTAACACAGCGTTTAACGCAGCGTTTAACACGTTTAACACAGTGTTTAACACAGCGTTTAACACACCGTTTAACACAGCGTTTAACGCAGCATTTAACACGTTTAACACAGAGTTTAACACAGAGTTTAACACAGCGTTTAACACAGCGTTTAACACAGCATTTAACACAGAGTTTAACACAGCGTTGAACGCAGAGTTTAACACAGAGGTTAACGTAGCGTTTAACACAGCATTTAACACAGCGTTTAACACAGTTTAACACAGAGTTTAACACAGAGTTTAACGCAGCGTTTAACACAGCGTTTAACACAGCGTTTAGCGCAGCGTTTAACACGTTTAACACAGAGTTTAACACAGAGTTTAACGCAGAGTTTAACGCAGTGTTTAACACAGCGTTTAGCACAGCGTTTAGCGCAGCCTTTAACACAGCGTTTAACACAGTTTAACACAACGTTTAACACAG